AAATAAATCCTTCTTGTTAAATATACACACAAGGCATTGGTATCTTAGTGAAGGCTGCACACGCTAACATAATATTGTCTTAAATAACGCTATATAGCACCAATTTAGATGACAATAAACCCCACGATATTTATATACTTTTTAATAAATTGTGTAAAATGAGAAGTTCATTATTACCTAACATTGATGTTAAACATCAGTGGTGCTACATAATATTAACATTATTATTTGTACATCTTACCAACTTAACAATAAGGAATTAAAAACTATTGACAGAAATCGACATAAACCTCTCTTACCAAGACTTGAGAATCAATGTGAATTCTATTTGAATGCAGTTATTAGAAAGCATGGGGAAAATCTTCAATTCAGAGGGTAAAGCAGCACAGAAGATAGCTTTTGAGGATGTGTTTGAGAAACTGAGGGTATTAGAAGAGGGAATACAAAGTAGTTTCTTTGCAGAGAAAAAACTAAATTTACATGGTCAGCATTTGGATCTCCTAGATATAATGATCATTGCAACACTTAGTGTCACGCAGTGAGAATGCTTATCTCCTCATTCGGCACAGCAAGGACACTAATAGCTAGGCACGAGGCCTATTTTACCAAATAGTGCACTAATGATATGATCATATGCAGGTATTCTCCCTAACATACTATTCATGGCGTGCGTGTATGCCAGTTGTACGGGCTTGCCGACCTAAGAATGAGAGGAAGGCGGCATTGAGGCATAGTACCTCGAGAGCCAAACCTGCGATCCGTGAAAGTTCGTATCAGAACGGGTCCGCTCAAGCATGTGGTGTTGTTATGGGACAATGTCGTGTGTTCTTGCGGAGAACAGATCTTGGGCCACGGATCGTGTCGGCAAGCTGGCGGAACACGACGAAGGAAGCTTTGGGCAATAAGGATGAAAAGGGCAGCGTTGCGCAATTGCTTAAGTGCATTTCAAGGAGTTTTCGAGGAGCGCACATTGCAGGGCACAATGATGAAGATTGTGTGTATTATTCGACATGCATTGAGGCGCCGCGGTTGGAGGCCGTCCACCTGAGGAACCAATGCTCTAGAGAGGCAAAGGGTGAAGGTTGGTGTCAAAGCGGTAAGTACGAGATACTGCAGGTTTGTGGAGGCCTGTCCATATAAAGTGGTGCTGTTGTTATTCTTGCAATGAGACGGATGCGTGTTGATGCGAAACTCACTTTTCGCTACGAGGACGTAAGTGAATTCAAATGGGGGAGAATGTCAAGCAGTGAGAATGCTTATCTCCCCCATTAAGCACGACAAAGACATTAACAACTAGGCGCGAGGCCTATTTTACCAAATAGTGCACTAATGATATGGTCATATGCAGGTATTCTCCCTAACATCCTACTCATAGTGTGCGTGTATGCCAGTTGTACTGGCTTGCCGGCCTAAGAATGAGGGGAAGGCGGCCTTGAGGCGTTGTACCTCAAGAGCCAAACCTGCGGTCAGTGAAACTTGGTACCTTTAGAGCACAAGAAGAGTTTCTTGGTGTCCTGCCGAAGTTCAAACAAGCTGCCCTGAAATTTCCAACCAATTGAGACCATGATGCTGTATTTAATGTGTTTCTGTTTGAATTATTTTCTACTCGTGTGAATTTAGGTATAAGAATAAATTATCATGTATAATAAAGAGCATCGAGCAGATGCTGTTGAGCTCAAGCCCAGCTATTTTTGGTACGTCCCAACTCCTCAAAATATGCTTTGCTCATGTTTATAAACTCTTTATAAACACTCAACTATCCACATTCTACGGAACTCACAAAGTACTACCCACTTATCTACACTCATTTCTACATATTTATAATTTAAACCATTTATAAACACTTTCCAGCCATTAACTTATGTAAATACAGTCGAGGCATCCAGAGAAAGACTGATGCAAGTCACATATGGAGTTCATCCTCAAAATTTTTTTTTTGCTTAAACAGTCAGAGATGATGTTTTATAAAGAAGGGCTTAATCAAGAAATGAGCTCATTCAAAAGTAGAATGAATAACAGTATAATGATATCAAGTACATTACCAAATCATTTGTCAAAAATTGTTCAAAACTTTAAGATAACAATATAAAAAGTAATTATTCTTAGCTCTTTGTTGCCAGCTTTTCTTTTGCCTTTTGAAT